AAGTGAGGAAATGTTTGTACAGGAAAAAATTGCTTGGATTATTGTATCAAAAGGTTGCAATTTTAGCAGATAAATAAATACACAACTGTTCCAAGCACATATTTCTTTGAAAATTTTGTTAACTTCACAAAAATTTAATTTTTTTAAACAATGTTTAAAACTATAAATGATGTAAATTTAGTATTAGTTATTAGTAAGCCCTCCTTCACAACCGGTGCAAATAGACCCTTATCACAAACAGTTAAAATGGCTAGATTTAACATGCACTGATTCCATTTGTTCTCTAGTGTGCACTGTAAGTTAAAAACATTATTTTTAATTTAGATATATCTCCTGTAAAGGGACAAGTTTAAGGGCTTAGCAGTGGCTCCGCCGAGTTCAATTTAATTTTCCCAATACCACTTGATTTTGGGCCACATTTAAATTTTCATCTACTAACTATTACTTTCTTTTTGTTTTAGTCTAAAAAATTTAGTTTCTTTCAAAATCATCTATAAACTTTGAAAATCATTTCAAATTCATCTATTCAATAAATTGCCATTAACTTGTTTAACGGAATCCCATGGCATTCTTATATGGCACATGCAGTTTTGAAAAATTACACTTTAACCCCAAAAACTTCACAAAATTTTCAGTTAAGTTTTATATTCAAACCATTCTACTTTCTTGGGAAGATTTTTTCATTTTTTTTTATTTTTAGTTTTGTAATAAATTTATATGTTTGAATTTTGATTAACAACTAAAAAATTCATCATTGTCATTATTAAGATGAAATTATATCACTTCTTTTTTTATTTAGTTCAAAAAATTAATTTTATTTGTATTATCTCTTTCTTAAAATAACTTTTGTTTTTTTTTTTTCAAATTAAGAATTTAAGGATAATTTATATTTACTTATATTACCCTTAAAAAGAAATAAAAGATGAAGAGAAACATTTTGTGATGGGATGATTAATTAAAGTAAATAGATAATAATAAGGTTAAGGTAAAAAAATAGATTTGTTTACCTTGAAAAATAAAAAATAAAAAATTAATTCGAGACAAATTTGAAATTATAGAGCGATAATTATTTTGGAACAAATAGAGTAAAGTTAGAATGTACTCTTTACATCCCACAATAATAAGTATTTTTTATTTAGAATTTATCTTAAAATAATAGTGATTTTTTTTATACTTTAAAGGAAATAAAATTTTTATTTCTACTTTAATTTATGATTATATCTTAATTTT